GATTCTCTCCTTGATGAGTTTCTTTCTCTGCCTGTTTTTCCAGGTTATCAATGAGACTTACAAGAAAAACCTGATGAGTCTGAAAAAATTTGTGATGGTGCGGTTCCTCAATGACACAATGGTAGATCCTCCTGCCTCTGAGGTGAGCGGCTCAGAAGGGTGTGTGGTGTTATAAAAGGTGTGCATATCCGAAAAATCAAAATGGGATTTAGCCTTTGTGTACCGCCCAGAGGCAGTTCTTAGCCCCCCAAAAAGTACAGGTAGTCCCTGAATTACGACCACAATTAAAGCATCATTTTCATTGTTGAGCAAGGTGGTTGTTAAGCAGAGTCACAACTGATTTTATGACCTTTTCTGCCATGGTGTTTAAGAGGTTCGCTCCAGTTGCTAAGTACATTACGTGGTTCGATCCTGACTGGCTGAAGGTTTACTCCGCCTTCTGTCCTTCCGAGGTTGGTAAAATGAGGACTCAGATTATTTTGGGCAAATAGGCTGACTCTGTAAACTGGTTAGAGAGGGCTGTAAAAAGCACTGTGAAGCGGTATATAAGTCTTAAATTGCTATTGCTAAGCGAATCCAGCTTCCCCTTTGACGTTGCTCGTTTGTGCTTGATGGAAGCTGGCTGGGAGGTCGCCGACGGTGATCACGTGACCCTGGGAAGCTGCAACCATCATAAATAGTTGCCAAGTATCCAAATTTTGATGTTGTGACTGTGGGGATGCTGCGACGGTTGCAAGCGTGAGGACCGGTCACATGTTAACTTTTCTCAGTGGCATTATAACGTTGAACGCATGGTTAGAAGCTGAAGACCATCTGTACCATTTTTGAGTCCGATATCCTCAGACATGGTATTCTGGCAGGTCTCCCCTTTTGGGGTGTAGGGGACTTACCGCTTTTCTCCCTGTCTGTCTACGGAGATTCTCCGTCATTCCAGGTCATGGTTGTCCCAAAGGTGCTTTTTTCATGAGGCAACTGGGCCTTTCTTGTTTTTCTTCGAAGACGTTTCGCTTCTCGTCCCAAGAAGCTTCTTCAGCTCTCCCTGTCCCGCTTTTGAGAATCCGGCTCCAATCACTAGACCATTGTTTCTCAACCTTGACCATTTTAAGGCATGTGGACTTCAACTCCCAGAACTCCACAGCCAGCAATGAAGTCCACATGCCTTAAAATGGTCAAGGTTGAAAAACACTGCCCTAGGAGTTCTCATTAGGATAAGAAATACAGGGTTGGTTCTTAGCAGTTTCCAGGGATTGATCACAATAAAGACAATTTATGCCTTCTCGTTCTCTTTCCTTCCAAGTGGTTTGGTTACTATCGGAGCGGCCAGAGCAAGGACACCGTTCCTCTTCAAGAGACCACGCTCTACATGGAGGTAATTACCTCAAGTCTTTCCTTTGAATGACTGAAAACTCAACTTAGGTTGAAATAAACATCCTATCTGACACTGCAGCCAGCATTATGTTGTTGTTGTTAGTTGCGAAGTCGTGTCCGACCCATTGCAACCCCATGGACAACATTCCTCCAGGCCTTCCTGTCCTCTACCATCTTCTGGAGTCCGTTTAAGCCCACACCTACTGCTTCAGTGACTCCATCCAGCCACCTCATTCTCTGTTGTCCTTTCTTCTGTTTCCCTCCATCTTTCCCAGCATTAGGCTCTTCTCCAGTGAGTCCTTCCTTCTCATTAGGTGGCCAAAGGACTTGAGTTTCAACTTCAGGATCTGGCCTTCTAAAGAGCAGTCGGGGTTGATCTCCTCTAGGGCTGACCGGTTTGATCGCCTTGCAGTCCAGGGGACTCGCAGGAGTCTTCTCCAGCCCCAGAGTTCAAAGGCCTCCATTTTTTGGCACTCAGCCTTTCTTATGTTAGGGGACATAATTTCTCTATTCGGGCAAGAACAAAAGGTCTATATATAAATATTACCTTGAAAATTGCTTCCAGGATTGGAAACCATCAGAAGGACCTCTGCAGTTTTGTTCACCCAACAAACTTAACTAGGTCAGTTAAGGACTGTGGCTATATCCATGTGCTAAATGGGGTTATTTCTAACTTTGGGTTGGGTGGGCTACCTGAGCTTTGCTATGGCCTTCCTTAATTTTTTGTCTACTTCCCAGTCTAGTTTATAGCTCTTGAGATACCCTTCTGCACCCTCCCCCCATTTAAGTAGTAATGAAGACCAACACGGCTTAGCTTTTTAAAGTTGGCTAGGTGATGCCACCTGCCAAACCTTCAAGCTGTATCGGGTGAATCCCTAAAAAGCATGAACAATCCTATGGATTGCTCAATGAAGCCAGAAGTCTTGGCTACACCGTAAATGTTATGGCAGAATGTGGTTGGGTTATGGTGTGAATTTTGCCATGGGTCTCTTTCTTTAGTTTCTGACTTAAGTGTTCCTCAGTTTAACTGGCACGTTGCCTTGATTTTCAGGATCGCCTGGGCCTGAAGGAAATGGACCAAGCAGGGAAGCTGGTGTTTCTTGGAGCAGAAGGAGACCATCTCCGCTTTTCCAAAGAGTGGTTCTTCAAGAACATCGTGCCCTTTCTCAGTCATGCTGCTGGTGATGACAGTCAGGCTGTTCTATCATAGGGTTTGGTGGCTGGAGATGATTCTCATGGCAAGGCGGGATACGCTCCATAGAGACCTATCTTGAAGACAGGGCTGTTTCTACTAACCTGCTAGGCTACTGTTCCATTTCAGTATTAACAGTTTAGGCATGTTCAACTCCAAGTATTATTTTTTGTTAGTTGCGAAGTTGTGTCCGACCCATCGTGACCCATGGACGTTCCTCCGGGCCTTCCTGTCCTCTACCATCTTCTGGAGTCCATTTAAGCTCACGCCTGCTGCTTCAGTGGTTCCATCCAGCCACCTCCTTCTCTGTCGTCCCCTTCTTCTCTTGCCCTCCATCTTTCCCAGCATCAGGCTCTTTGCCGGTGAGTCCTTCCTTCTCATTAGATGGCCAAAGTACTTGAGTTTCAACTTCAGGATCTGGCCTTCTAAAGAGCAATCGGGGTTGATCTCCTCTAAGACTGACCAATTTGATCGCCTTGCAGTCTAGGGGACTCGCAGGAGTCTTCTCCAGCACCATAATTCGAAGGCCTCCATTCTTTGGCGCTCAGCTTTTCTTAACGGTCCAACTTTCACAACCATACATTGCAACTGGGAAAATCATGGCCTTGACAGTATTTAAACTTTTTCAAAAACCAATCTTTGTTTCCAGGACCTGCCTATTGTAAGGGTTAATCCGCTGTCACCTGATAATATGGTATTTGTATGGCACAATCGGAGCTGGTCACCATTGTTTGAGAGGGTGTAATTGATATGATTCACAGTGCGTAAAATTCCCACTTCAGGTACGTACAGTTTTAAGTTCCATTTGAAAGAGAGACCACTTCTGTGATTTTATTGAGGTGTCAGTCTAAAGAAACACAAAAGCACTGCAAATGCCATTGTGTAGTTGCTCTGAATGGAGATATTGAATAGGGCTGCATTCAGAATGAAGTGTGGAGGGGTGAGGTGTTTCCACAGCTGAGGTTTTTCTCTGAAAACTGAGGCCTTTCATGGGTGGAAGGCATCACTGTTAATGCTGGAAGGAATTCTGATAAAAAGCCATTGATTAGATCTCCCAGAACAAAGGGAAGAAGATTTAAAATATGATTTATGGAAGAGGATTCGGTTTTGAAATCATGTTAATTTATGTTTGCTTTGGTTTACATTACAAGTATTTTGCAATTTGACACAGTCTAATAAACCAGTTTTAATTTAGATTGCAATGGTGGTCATTTCAGGGCTGGAGTGACTTATAGTCACATCGTCTGCATGTGCTCCTGCTTGACTGGGCAATTGGACTTTCTGTAATTCCAGAGCATTATACCATAAACATGGAATCTTCTGAGCAGAGCCATCTTTGAAAGACACACCTTTTCCCAAAAGCCATTATTCAGAAAAACCTGATCATGTCTCAACAAATGGTGGTGTTAGGTGCGATGGGTAGATCAAAGCTCACTTTTGATACTTTTCTCTGATCTGAACAGCTTGTTGGCATATGACAGAATCTGGGGAACTGGTTACGTTTTTGAGGACATAACCACTTCCCCAGATTCTCTCCTTTGGGTCCATTGTGGACCATCGAGATAGTTGTGTAGACCAGCGGTTCTCAACCTGTGGGTCGGGATCCCATTTGGGGTCGAACGACCATTTCACGAGGGCCGCCAAACAACACAGTCCGCCATTCCCCCCCCCCCTTTTCCTTAGCTGTGCTACTCCCTTTTATTCTATTGGCTTTTGAAAGCCAATAGAATAGACTCTCTTGAATAGAGTCTAATTCTATTGGCTTTCAAAAGCCAATAGAAATTGTCCAGGCTGTCTCTGCCCTGCTGAGCCCGCCAAAAGTCCCATTCTACAAATGGTGCTGCACCAGTTGAGTAGTCCTCGACTTACGACCGGTTGGGGGTCGCGGCATTAAAAAGGTTGAGAACCACTGGAGTAGACTTTTTCAGATTGTCTTAACAGTTTCCAGGATAGACTTCATTAAAAAGTTTGAACTAAGACGGGTAGGCAACCTTGGCTCTTTTATGACTCGTGGACTTCAACTCCCAGAATTCCTGAGCCAGCCATGCTGAGGGGAAAGGGAGAGGTATCCATGCTGAGCCATGCTGGCTCAGGAAGTCTGGGAGTTGAAGTCCACGAGTCATAAAAGAGCCAAGGTTGCCTACCCGTCTTAGTTCAAACTTTTTAATGAAGTCTATCCTGGAAACTGTTAAGACAGTCTGAAGAAGTCTACACCAGTGGTTCTCAACCTTGAAGATGTGTGGACTTCAACTCCCAGAATCCCGTAGCCAGTATTGGGCTAAGCTCCAGACTCCTCCAAGCGGTATATTTCAAAAGCCCTCCCAGGCACAGATCATTTAAGCAGGAGATAACACTCAAGAATTAGAGAAAACCAACAACGGAACGAGAGCAACCAGCTCCGAAGGCACCGTGGCAAGCTTAGAAAGGATCACACTTTATGAGCAACTTGGCATTAATTTTATTCTATCTTCGGTATAATTTTAAGTACATAAGAAAGATTTTTTTTTTTATATTCCACAAGCCTCGGAAGAGAAGTACAAGTCACAGGACAGTTTCAAAATAAAGAGGTGCATATCTTCTGTTAATTTTCAAGTGGAAAACTCAAAAACGTGGCAAAAAGGAGGAAAGATATTATCTGCATTACTACAGTTAAGACAGGCAGCTCCCTGTGGTGGGTCATTGCAGTACCATGCCTTCAGCCTGGGCACGATCGCCAGAGTGCTGTGTGACGCGAAACTCTGCAGAAGAAGCAGCAAGGGAGAGAGGGAGAACTAGCTAAAGAGCCCAAATGCTATGGGGCTAATAAATGCCGGTGAGCAATAGAACCAAAACGCCATGGAATTGTGCTTACAAACAAATACTTCTCTTGGAATGGAGAATTCATTCTGCCCTTGGAGGGGGGTGTGTGTGTGAAAAAAAAAACACCTGATACAAATTCTGGGAAAAACTGTCCTGGAAGACTGAACAGTGTTCAGTTGTTCAAAAAGAGGCCTCTTAGCCACAATTTTCCCTTTGTAAGAAGGCTTGAATGGAAGGGGTCGAGGAGCAGGCTTTGAACTGCTGGAGAGGCGCCCAGAATGGAAAAAAAATTGTTCCGTGGTCGTCTCGTGGCACCTGCACCAGGGCAGTTCCCCTCCTCCCCCACCTCATGGCACAACACAGAATTTACAAGGACAACACAGGAAGGGGGAAATAGGGGCGAAGGAATGTTACACATCCCATTTTTCAGCCTTTGGTCCAGCAAAGCTATTCTCAGCATCTCTTGGGTGAGGTTCGTTGAGCAGAATCATTTCCCTCGGACCTTCCCCGATCTAATAATAAGCCGGTCAAGTATATTTCATACATCCCTAAAGGGGAGGGGTACCATATGCTGATAGAAACTTTATCCCCCTCCCTCCCAACATTCCTCATTGAAGTGGAACTCTGTGGCCAGCTTGACACCTGCACCGACTGGACAAGATGGGTGTTGCCTGGCCAGAGGGGAAGGGGAGTGAATGCCACACCTTCCTGCCAGTCAAGGGAGAGAATGGAATGAACCTGCCCCCCCCCCCAACCCCAAATTCCAGCCTGAGGTATTTTCAGTCAGGGGAGAGTGGCAGGTCTTTCAAGAAGACAGAAGCAGAGGGAGAGTTGGAAAAAATGGGACGAGGAATCTAAAAGCTGGCCCCCAGAAAGCATTTTTTTTTTTTTGTCCCAAAGTGATGGTAGAGGAAGGGGAGGTCGTGAAGCAGGAGGCCATTTTATCCAGCGATTTCTGTCACCGTGGTGACCAACTTCTGCCCGTTCCATTGCGTCTTGAATTGCTCAGGGACAGGAAATTCGTTCTGGGGAAATCAAACATACAAGTCATGGTTGACTGGTGTGCAGAAGACAAGACATCTCTGGTGCTGGGGACGCCACCATCCCAGGGCACAGCCCCCCCCACGTTATGCACCTTTCAGAATTTTGCAAGGTTCCTAAGTCATCCAGTTTATATGTCGCTTCCCCTAGTACAGGGGTTCGGAACCTCGTCTCTGGGGCAGCCCCTGAGATATTGGAAGACTGCTATCATGTCCCCCCTCGTCCTCTTCATTAAACTAGACCACTGGTGGCGAACCTATGGCACGGGTGCCAGAGGCGGCACTCAGAGCCCTCTCTGTGGGCACGCGTGCCGTCGCCCCAGTCCTAGGCCTTCAGCTGGGTTTTATAAAACCTTTTCACTTTAGGCCTCCGCTGCTGTGTGCAAAAAAAAAAAAAAGATTCAATCAATCAGTCAATTTCAACTTCTCGTGGGAAAAAAAAAGATCTTGCAAAGTTGGAATTGATTGATTGAACTTCTTTAGTTTCACCCAGTCTGACTCGGTCTCTAAAAGGTTCGTCATCACTGAAGTTGTTGTTGTTAATTGCGAAGTCGTGTCCGACCCATCGCGACCCCATGGACAACGTTCCTCCAGGTCTTCCTGTCCTCTACCATCTTCTGGAGTCCATTTAAATTCACACCTACTGCTTCAGTGACTCCATCCAGCCATCTCATTCTCTGTCGTCCCCTTCTTCTCTTGCCCTCAATCTTTCCCAGCATCAGGCTCTTCTCCAGTGAATCCTTCCTTCTCATTAGGTGGCCAAAATACTTGAGTTTCAACTTCAGGATCTGGCCTTCTAAAGAGCAGTCGGGGTTGATCTCTTCTAGGACTGACCGGTTTGAACGCCTTGCAGTCCAAGGGACTCGCAGGAGTCCATCACTGAACTAGACATACCCAATTCCAGCAACCGTTTCTTATACGTTTTAGCCTCCAGTCCCCTAATCATCTTTGTTGCTCTTCTCTGGACTCTTTCTAGAGTCTCAGCATCTTTTTTTTACTAAAGATGTTAGACTCTAGCTAAATTAACTTTAGCTAGTTTATGGTCCACTCTGTTTGCAGATTCAGAAACTAGAGTAACTAACCAGGTGAAATATGTTGTGTGGCTAACAGCTGGGGATACAGATCTTTGCCAGTGAAATTCTGCTTCCCTTGTTAAAGAACTGATAACATCCGCTCAGTAATGCAATTCTCTGAAACCATTATCTGCTCCAGCAAGACTGGGGGAAGTTTCATTTTTAAGTATGGGTAGTCCTCAATATACAACTGTTCAATTAGCGACCGTTCAAATTTACAACCTAACTGAAAAGCGGGGGTTCCGAAGTTCCAACTGCCACTCCCCCCCACTAGCTATGTGACCAAATTTGCTCAGCAAAATGGCCACGTGTATTGCTGTCTGCAGCATCGTGGAGTCATGACCACATTTTACGATGATTAACCCTAACTAGCAGTTAACGCAGTGGTTCTCAGTCTGTGGGTCGGGACCCCAGTTGGGGTCGAACGACCATTTCACGGGGGTCGCCAAACAACGCAGTCCGCCATTTTTCCCCCCTTTTCCTTAGCTGTGCTACTCCCTTTTATTCTATTGGCTTTTGAAAGCCAATAGAATAGACTCTCTTGAATAGAGTCTAATTCTATTGGCTTTCAAAAGCCAATAGGAATTGTCCAGGCTGTCTCTGCCCTGCTGAGCCCGCCAAAAGTCCCATTCTGCAAACGGTGCTGCACCAGTTGAGTAGTCCTCGACTTACAACCGGTTGAGTAGCCCTCGACTTACGACCGGTTGGGGGGTCACGGCATTAAAAAGGTTGAGAACCACTGAGTTAACGTCTCGCAAACAATGGGTGGTAAAATTGGGTCATTCATGTGGCCGACCCATTTTATGACCCTCACCACATTCAACCGTAATGGGCAGGCTGTATTACAGTCATATGTCAAGGACTACCTGTAACTCCCCCTTTTCAGCTTGAATGAACACCCCCCCCCCTTCGGAGTGATACGGACAAGAACTCACAAAGTCCCCGTTGTCTGTAGGAACAAGAATGTTCATCTCCGAGGACTTGGCACTAACAATCTCACACTCTAGAGAGCTCTTGCTCAAGTAGACTTGACAACCGTCTGTCTTGTTGATGGAAATGGTTGGCACTTTTCCCATTACCTAGTGAAAAAAAAGAGACCGTGCTGAGAAACTGCCCAGGGCTACCCCTCCTACGCCAAGTCTGGGCAACCTTTTTTCTTCTGTGGAAATCACATTTCCCTCCGGGGGCATTTAGAAGCAGCAAGGTGGACAGGAGCAAAGCAGCCAACAGGAAGGTGCAACTCTAAATCCAGAAGTTGAGGAGATCAGTCGTTCTCCTTCTGAACCTCCTTTTTACACTCTCCCAAGAAGGGATAGATGGATTCCTAAAGGACTGCAGAAATTTGGCTAATGGCCACAGCTTGACCACTCTAAATGTTAAGGCAGAAATGAAGGGAAAGGTGGCCTACAGCAGGGGTGTCAAACTCAATTTCATTGAGGGCTGCATCAGCATTGTGATTGCCCTTGGGGAGGCCAGGTGGGTGTGGCCAGGGTGGGTGCAGCCTACTGGGTGGGCGTGGATGGAGTGGGTGTGGCCTACTGGGTGGGCATGGCCAGCTCTACATCGTTCGCATCAAGGGTTCCTGTGGGGGCCTGGACAGGAGTGGGACAGATCTGAGGGTCTCTGGCAGAAGGGGGTGGGACCGGGGCAAGCGCCAAGGCATGGTCCATTTCTTCATTCCTCACAAAGGGTGACCCCTCCCCAGCATGCACCCAGGGGACGGGGCCGATGCGGCAGGGGCTGGCTCCTCGCTGTTTCCAGACGGCCTTGTGGAGCTAAGACTGAATGTGTTTCAGCATAGATGGCCACCACAAAATTGTACATTGGCTCCCGGCCAGCCAGGACCAAGGCAGCGGTGACTGTTCCCTCATTGTTTCCAGGATGGATTCGCGGGCCACATGAAACCGCTTCATGCCCCGAGCCTTGTGTTTGACATGTTTGGCATACAGCATTTTCATGCTTAACATTGGTAACTTTTTGAGACACCTGGTGGGAGGAAGTTACTGTCAAGGTGAAATGAACCAAAGGACACGTGCCATTACCTGAATTTGAACATCACGGCTGTTGATTATCTCAACAATGCCCACCACATCATCAAATACCAGCCCAAGTTTCTTACAGTTATCTGAGAGAGAGACAAGAGAGAAATGAGACTAGTATGGATTGCTTCCTTTAAAAAAATAAATCTCAACATAGCTAAGACTTATCTTTTTTCACTGATAGCTGTAGCACATCAACTTTACAGCCCTCTCTAAGTGGTTTATAGAGTCAGCATATTGCCCCCAACAATTTCGGCCCTCATTTTATCAACCTTGGAAGGATGGAAGGCTGAGTCATCCTTCAGCTGGTCAGGATCGAACTCCTGGCAGTGGGCAGTGTCAGCCTGCAATACTGCATTCTAACCCCTCAGCCACCATGGCTCCAGAATGAACATGAACTTGGGCAAAGTCCAAGAGACAGTGGAGGACGGCGGGAGGTCTGGCCTACTATGGCCCATGGGGTGGTGAAGAATCAGACACAACCTAGCAACCGAACAACAAAACCCCAAAGAAGAGGTGTGAACTTACCCAGCGTGATGGAGTTGATCTTCCCTTGGATACGGAGTGTACTGTTCACACACTTGTAGACATAGGCCACCTGCTTCAACTCCGTGCCACTGATCAAGTTGGAGGCGTTCTCTTGGTTTTCCTAAAGAGGAAAGAGCAGCTGCTATTATTCAGATTCATCACCTTCTCTTGATGCAACCAGGAACAGCAGGAACAACGACAAATTTCACAAACAAAATCCACCCACAGGCTGGAGCAGGGGGTCCACCACGTACACGTGACTAACTGGACATCAGGTAAGAGCTCTTAGCTCAGGGCTGTCAAACTCAATTGCATTGAGGGCCGCATCAGCATTGTGGTTGCCCTTGGGGGGGGGCGGGTAGGTGTGGCCAGGGTGGGTGCGGCCTACTGGGTGGGCATGGATGGAGTGGGTGTGGCCTACTGGGTGGGCATGGTCAGCTCTACATCGTTCACGTCAAGGGTACCTGTGGGGGCCTGGGCAGGAGTGGGACAGATCTGAGGGTCTCTGGCGGAAGAGGGTGGGACTGGGGCAAGTGCCAAAGCATGGTACATTTCTTCATTCCTCACAAAGAGTGACACTTTCCCAGCATGCACCCAGAGGGTGGGGCCAACACAGTAGGGGCTGGTTCCTCGCTGTTTCCAGACGGCCTTGTGGAACTAAGACTGAATGCGTTTCAGCATAGATGGCCACCACAAAATTGTACATTGGCTCCCAGCTGGCCAGGGCCAGGGCGAAGACAGTAGGGGCCGTTCCCTCACTGTTTCCAGGATGGCTTCGCGGGCCACATGAAACCACTTTGCAGGCCGCATCCAGCCCCCGGGCCTTGTGTTTGACCTGTCTGTCTTAGCTGAATTGCATATGGTCCCTCACTGAGACAGAGGCACAGAGCCCAAGTCCTTATCTCATTGCAATTCTTAATGGGCAAAACCAGGGCCAGAATAATTTAATCAATATTTAAGGTTGCAAGTAGTCTTTGACGTACAACTATAATTGAGCCCAGAATTACAATCATGTCGAGGCAATCATAAAGTGGGTCGGTATGTGAACTTGCCTGATTTTACTTTCTGAGTTAAGGGAATACCGCGATCCTTAAAGGGATCCACTTCCTCCATTGGGCGTTTTTCGTGACAGGTCCACTGTAACTTTGAACAGCCACCCAGGCAGGACTGCCAGTTGTTACACTTCCAGATAACTCAGTGGTTCTCAACCTGTGGGTCGGGACCCCATTTGGGGTCGAACGACCATTTCACGGGGGTCGCCAAACAACGCAGTCCGCCATTTTTTCCCCCTTTTCCTTAGCTGTGCTACTCCCTTTTATTCTATTGGCTTTTGAAAGCCAATAGAATAGACTCTCTTGAATAGAGTCTACTTCTATTGGCTTTCAAAAGCCCATAGGAATTGTCCAGGCTGTCTCTGCCCTGCTGAGCCCGCCAAAAGTCCCATTCTGCAAACGGTGCTGCACCAGTTGAGTAGTCCTCGACTTACGACCGGTTGAGTAGCCCCCAACTTACGACCGGTTGGGGGTCACGGCATTAAAAAGGTTGAGAACCACTGAGATAACTGGAGCTGAGGCTTTGTCCTGGCTCTACCTCCTCCTCCTCCCTACCCAACGTGCCCCTTGAAGGCCAAGGGCTTGAAAATAAATGACCTACCACCTCAAGGTAACGCACGCTTTTTGTATCGACACAATGTGTACGCTCTCCTGCCAGCAAAGCGATTTGCCGGACTCCTGTCTGATAGACTCTCTTAAACTGAGGAGGTTCTCTTGGAAAGAACCAGCTTCCCAGGGGGTGCCAAGGTGAAAGGCTGCGGACTCACCACTCTCCACTTCTTGCCTTCCAACTCCAGCATGGGGGGCTCCTTCTTCGCGGGCAATTTGGAGGAAACGTTGACTGTGCAGGGAGGCTTGGCAGCCGTGAACGGTTTGGGCCCCGTTCGCACAGGACCCCCTTGGCTTTTCAGCGACGGGTTTTTGTGGGTCTTCATCTCATCGGACACGTGTTTCAAGCCTAGGATGGGAAAGCATCATTGGCAGAGTTCACACCCTTTGCTAATCCGTTATGCGTTGCGGTGTCTTGGGAACCTAAACCCTTGACCAAACAGCTTGCCTTATACAGGACGTCCTCGACTTATCACAATTCAGCCCCAAATTTCCATTGTTCAGCAAGACAGTGAGTTTTGGCCCATTTTATGACTTTTCTTGCCACCTTTACTGAGCAAATCACTGCAGTTGTTCAGTTAGTAACAAGGTTGGTGAGTGAATCCGGCTTCTCCATTGACTTTGCGTGTCAGAGTCGCAAAAAGGGACACTGCAACCGTCATAAATACATACCAGTTGCCAAGTATCTGAACTTTGATCATATAACCAGGGGGATGCTACAATGGTGTGTAAAATGGTTATAAGTTTTTTTCAGTGCTGTTGTAACTTTTATCTAAACCACCCTCTTGTTATGGTTCCGGCTAATGAAACACTTCAAAGAACTTCCAGGCATTTATTTTCCTAAAAGTCAGTGATTGTTACAAAATGTCCACACAGGCATAACGGAAGGATGCTAAGATGCTAAGTTTTCTTCCTCTGAGCAGTTAAATTATCAGCATGTTCCCTCCCTAAATTAGCCATCATATCTCACATTATCCAATTAGTGTGAAGGTCATAGGTTTTCTTCCTCTTTCTTTCCCAGGTTTTACCCCCATCTCCCTTCTGCTCTGTATTAACCCCATAAATACCAGACAGTTCTGCATATTGTCAAAAGCAAGAATATACAATATTTGCAGCGTTGACACCTTGGCTTATTCACAGAGTTCTGCAAGGAATTAATGTAAGACAACACACACCTGACTGCAATGAGAAGGCCCGGTACAAGTTTAATGTAACAGACCTGTGGTTGTGATCTGTGTAAGATGGGCAGCCACATAAATCTCTTAAATAAAGTCCAGCTTGGAGGTGGTGTATCAGAAAGCCAAGCAAAGATTATACGAAAAAATAAAAAAGTTTCTTTGTTCCTTAAATTGATAGGCTGCCCATCTCACCAATAAGATGACTCATTAGTCATATTAAGGACGGTTCAGTCTTTGAACAATATTCTTAACATGGAGTCCTTTCTTCAACCAATGGGAAAATGAAGCACTTATACCAGGGGTAGGCAACCTTGGCTCTTTTATGACTCATAGACTTCAACTCCCAGAATTTCTGAGCCAGCATGAGGGAAACTTTGGCCCCTTCATAACTCATGGACTTGAACTCCCAGAATTCCTCAGCCAGCATAGCTCAGCATGGAAACCTCTCCCTTTCCCCTCAGCATGGCTGGCTGAGGAATTCTGGGAGTTGAAGTCCACCAGTCATAAAAGAGCCAAGGTTGCCTACCCCTGCCCAAATGCCTGAATTTTGATCACGTGACCATGAGGAAAAAATATTTAAATATTTAAACCAGGGGTCTTCAAACTTTGCCCCTTTTATGACTGGTGGACTTCAACTCCCAGAATTCCTCAGCCAGCATGGAGGAACTATGGCCCCCTCATGGCTTGTGGACTTCAATTCCCAGAATTCCTGAGCCAGCATGGCTCAGCTTGGAAACCTCTTCCTTTCCCTTCAGCATGGCTGGCTCAGGAATTCTGGGAGTTGAAGTACACCAGTCATAAAAGAGCCAAGGTTGCCTACCCCTGTCTTATATGATGGATGTATGATTTAAGGGAATCACACCCATCTCCATCTCAAAATTGATTCCCCTCCCCCCCCCAACAAAATTTTCAAACATTTTTGAAATTTGGAAATGGACAGAAAGTGTTCCAATTGCATCCAGGTGACGAAAATGCTGTCATTCCAAGCCAGAGGGACACCTTGACAACCCTCTGCAACCTTTTCACTATACGGAGACAGCTAAAAGGCGACTCCTACAATTGAAGGCTACTGTGCTTTGCAGGGCAATGAATGTGCCTGTAGGGTTGCCCTATTCACAGGAACCCCCGCAGGGCACCGAGTTTAATTAGTTCTGCTCAATGCAAGAAGGAATGAAAAAAACTGAATTTCTGAGGTGCAGAATTCCAAAGATGTAAGCGACGGTTCAAATTATTTCTACTGGTTATGTTACCATGGCTGCAGATTTAGGAAATGTAACTGTAGTTTCACTATTTCCTCGAAAGGCTATGCAAACATGGACTAGTTTCGGATCAATCTGCTCCCAGAATCTTTTTCCAAGCCCTTGGTTTGGTGCAATTTTAAGACCAAGGTACTGTTCAAAAGACATTGATTTGCCTTCAGTTGAAAACATACAAATGCTGCTATCTTTAGCCCCACCGACCATCTGTCCACATAAGAGGATTAACATTTGTGACATTTTGCAACCTGTTAAACAAGCAAAACTGGGTTATGGGATGCAGTTAAAACTGCGCCCTGCAGAAACTCTTATCCCCTGGACCAGGGGTAGGCAACTTTGGCTCTTTTATGACTCGTGGACTTCAACTCCCAGAATTCCTGAGCCAGCCACGCTGAGGGGAAAGGGAGAGGTTTCCAAGCTGAGCCATGGCTGGCTGAGGAATTCTGGGAGTTGAAGTCCCCGAGTCATGAAGGGGCCAAAGTTTCCCTCATGCTGGCTCAGGAATTCTGGGAGTTGAAGTCCACGAGTCACAAAAGAGCCAAGGTTGCCTACCCCTGCCCTGGACAAATCCCCTGCATAGGAGACTAAAGAACAATTCCATCCAGGACTCTTTTATTTTATTTTTTTAAAAAATGCCTAAAGAATTTAGCTAGCTTCCAAAATCGGGGCTAGCTCAACTTGTGACTGAATGACCAATCCACCTACCAGTAGTGATGGCTTCTCCCTGATTGATCTGAGCAAAAAGCGCTGAGCGGGAGGCAGAGGAATCTGAACCAGCATTTGGGGAGGCGGGAGCTGGAGGGGGAGGGGGGCCAGGGGGAGGAGGGGGTGGGCCACGACAAACGGGAGCCCGAGATCCGTTTTCTGCATCAGTTGGCTGCGGTCCCTGGAAGGATAAGGGGAAAAAGAACACCCAATTAGGCTCTCTGTTAAAGAAATAAGGGAAACCACCCCAAGGCACCTGGAATAGGGATGTGGGTCGCGCTCACTGTTTTGCTCCAGGTCAGCCCAGTGGTATGATACTGCTTGATGTACGCTTGCAGCTCGGTCCAGATACTGAGGTAAGTCTTCACCCAATCCACGTGCTTCTTATCACTAGAGAAATAAGACCCAGACAACTTAATTGGGCCACTGGCTGGACCATCTGAAATTCTGCTTATAAAAGGGGCCCTATTTTACAGACAGAACTGCTTGGATAAAGTGACTCCTCAGAATTGTTTGGCAGGAGAATTCACCTAACGTTCGATACTCAATATATTTATAAGGGAATCTCCTTCTAATATCTACCCTCTCCCAATATGTTCTCACAAATAAGACTTTAATTTTTGCCACGCAATTTTCCTAGAACAATTTTTTTTTCTGCTTTCCGACAGGCTGTCTTAGTTTGCTGGATTTTAAAATGTCCAGTTGATAAAACTTAGTAAGATAGCAACACTCCCATTGTAAGAGGGTTTTATTCACGAGTCTTGCCTCTGCTCTTTAGCTGTACATTTGTTTCTTGCAGTTGGGTTACGGGTAGTCCTCCACTTAGGACCACTTGCTTAGCAACCTTTCAAAATTACAACAAACCGCCCCCCCAAAAAAAAACTACTTATGACCTAGTTCCAAGGGCCACATGCCATGGTCATGTGACTGCATTTTGGGTGCTTGGCAATTGGCCCCCAGCAGTATGCCGCATCCTTAGTCATGTGATCATGATTTATATGTTGTCAAAAATTGGCATTTACTTCTGGTTTGGGGCAAAAATGCCAAATACTGAACAATGGCCAAAAATAAAAATATAATAAAAATGGATCTGGTCACATGGTGTCCTGCTTTATGACCATCATAACTTACAATTGTAATGAGCAGGCTTTTTTATGGTCATAGGTCAGTGGTGGCGAACCTATGGCACGCGTGCCAGAGGCGGCACTCAGAGCCCTCTCTGTGGGCATGCATGCCATGCCCTGGAGATGGCAACTGTCCCTCTTCAACCAGCTGCCCACTAACTTGCTGAGGTCCCACATGGCTGGATGCATCCCAGCACCCATGCGCTCCCTGGCTTCTGTGTGCAGGGGCCGATGGTGTCAGGCAGCAGCCACCCTGGCCCCTGGCTCACCATGCCCTGTGACAATGACACCCCCACCCTGCCTCGCCTCTCCCCACAGGACGAGTTTCCTGCCCACCGCCCCACCTGCCAGAGACCCCCTGGATCTCCCCCAATCCTGTCTCCACAGGCGTCCCTCCCCATGAGCAACATCGAGGTGATCACGCCCACCTTGGCCACACCCATCCAGTCTGCCATGACCACCACAGTCACGCCCACCTAGTGGGCCACACCCACCTGGCACCCGGTGACAAATAAGTGGGGTTTGGGTTGCAGTTTGGGCACTTGGTCTTTAAAAGGTTCACCATCACTGCCATAAGTCAAGGACTACCTGTATTGATAATGTATTTGTACCTCCCCAGAGATCAACCAGTAAAACTTTAGTTAAGGATGTTAAAAATATGGGGCACAGGGCTTCTTATGTGACACTGCATCCACAGTTACTTCTGGCTGAGAAACAGGCTACTTGCAGCTTTCTGAAAGGAAACCTACACATCTTTGTATTCTTTGAGGACCCGGTTGCTATAAAACATGGCGGCATCTGTCATTTCCTTCACATAAGGGCCTGGCTTGGGGGCCTACAAGAAAACAGAAAATAAGCTTTGCATTTCATCAGCAGTATAACCAAGGCAACACAATTTTTTAAAAAAACCAACCATTTTAATTTAACTAGTTTACAGCCAAAGACCAGAAAAATGGTGCACAAGAAGCAGTTTACCAGAGAATACCGATAGTATTCCAACATGTTTACATAGAGTATAAACAAAGCAAAAACAATAATAGGTGTGCAAATTCACCAGCCTTCACCAGCACAAAAAATTAATTCAGGCCTTTCTAATAGCAATAAGAACAGAGTAAAATTGTGCTACATTCCCGGAATTTTTAGTTGAAAATTCAGCAAGGGAAAAAAAAAACCAAGAAATTTGAGTTTTGGACCAGTCTGTATGGCGAGTAAGAAGAGCAGTTAAGAGCTCTGTAATCAAAGATGATAGAGGGAGCAGAGAAGTAAACCATGGGCTACTGATCCGGGTCAGAACAGATACAGATACAGACACATTCTGCTTAAGGCAGGAGTTATTTCCCCTCTTCTGTCAGCAACTTAAAACTGGCAATCGTAATATGAAGGATCACTCTTGAGAAACAGAAGCTCGGAGCAACTTTACATGGAGACGTTTTAATTCCTCAATCCTTACCATGGCAACCCAGCCTAGTGCAGGGATGCTTTCGCTAACTGTCGAGAGGTGGTTGAAGAATTTGCTGCCACGGTTCTTCTCTCTGAAGTTCTGGACCACCTGGATCTGATCCGATATTGGCTTCAACACGACGGAGAAGTTACTCTGCAATTAAAAATTAGAGGAAACAAGAAGTGAATTATTTACGCGCCCAAATCCTCTTGCTGCCGAGGGTTCTCCTTGATCATTAACTTTAAGGCTGCCTATTCCCATTGATGCTAGTTCTCTTCCCATCTATCTTCCACCTTCTAATTAAACAAGGACCAGCTCATGCATAACGTGGACCCACGATGTCTGAATTTACCATCTTGCTAACCCTTGGTTTGTTTTAAAACAGTCCTTTGAATAAAGAACTGCTGGGTTCGTGGATTGTACAAAGACATAAATCAAGCTGCAATGATTAGGTTTTAGTTTCTGACACAGACAGTCCTTGACTTACAATGGAGCCCAACATTTCTGCTGCTAAGCAAGGCAGTTGTTAAGTGACTTTTGCTCCATTTTATGATCTTTTTGTGCTGTAGTTGTCAAGTGACTCATGCAGTCATTAAGCAAATCTGCCTTCCCCCCTTTGATTTGGCTCGTCAGAAGCCGGCTGGGAAGGTTACAAATGGGGATCACATGATCCTGCTGGGACAGTGCAACTGTCGTAAATACACACCCCAGTTGCCAAGTGTCCAACTTCTGATCATGTGACCACAGGGATGCTGCGAGAGTCGTAAGTTGCAGGTTGGACTAGAAGACCTTCAAGGTCCCTTCCAACTTTTTACTATTATTGTTGTTGTGTGAAAACTTATATCTCATCTTTATTATTTTTATAAACAACTCAAGAAAGTGTATAGACCTAATTCTCCTCCTATTTTCCTCACAAGAACCCTGTGGGTTGGGATAAGAGGGGGATTGGCCCAAAGTCACCCAGCTAGCTTTCGTGCCTAAAGTGGGACTAGAACTCACCGTCTCCTGGTGATTGTCCTAAAGCAGTGATGGCGAACCTTTTAGAGACCGAGTGCCCAAACTGCAACCCAAAACCCACTTATGCATTGTTGGGTGCCAGGTGGGCGTGGCCCACTGGCTGTGTATGGCCCATTGGGTGGGTGTGGCCCATTGGGTGGGCGTGGCTACAGTGGTAATGGCAGACTGGGTGGGACTAAAAAGTTCAATCAATCAATTCCAACTTTGCAAGATCTTTTTTTTCCCACGAGAAGTTGAAATTGACTGATTGAAGCTTTTTTTTTTTTTGTACACAGCGGCGGAGGCCTAAAGCGAAAAGGTTTTATAAAACCCAGCTGAAGGCCTAGGATTGGGGCGACGGCGCGCGTGCCCCACAGAGAGGGCTCTGCGTGCCGCCTCTGGCACCTGTGCCATAGGTTCGCCACCACTGTCCTAAAGTCACCCAGCTGGCTTTCATGGCTAAGGCAGGACAAGAATTCACAATTTCCTGCTTTCTAGCCTGGTGCCTTAACTGCTAGAGCAATATTACTGTGACTGTAAAGGTTTTTCTCCACTTACTGCTATGGGCTGTTGGCACTGAGAGGCTGTCACCAGGAGAACTCTCTCGGTCATCAATCCAGCATGGACCATCTCAGCCTGAAAGAGAGGGAGAAACAGACAACCTTATGAATTAGCAGCAACGGAATTAGTGTCAACATTCTTGCTTTGACAACATCTGGAGATGCAGCCTTTTTCTTTCTTATGCTTTACTCTTAGAATTAGATGATACTGGGGGGGGGGAAGAGGAGGAATGTGAGGGGAGTTAGTTCGACATAACAATATTGTAATAGTGTGGGAACTCAGGGCTTTTGAAATAAGAGATGATAAGGATTGGCCGGGTTGCAGAACAGAAGGGAAAGCCTGCCTTTCAAACTAATTGGAGAATGTGATTTATGACTGTTAATTAGAGGAGGGAATTGTGTTTGATACTATGTGCTCAGGGGAGGGGAATCCAGATTTTGGCTTCCCTTATGCATGTGCCGATGCTATGCTGCTCGAATAAAGATTCTTTAAGGTAAACAATGCCTCAAAGTTCTTTGAAGAGTTTCATCTGTCGGAACCATGACAATTAGATTGGCAAAAGAGAATTCCAAGAATGACTGACTGTATCAAAAGGCGACAGGCTATATACATTATTTCTTACATTTGCATACTGCTTTACATCCAACAACCAAAGGTAATTTAAACAATGAAACAAAAAATAGCATTAAAACAATGCCCTCCACACACTATTAGGGCCTTATGACCAAAAGTTTGCAGTGATGGCTAATATAAGTCAAAGCCAAAGGCCTTGAGAGGCTGTTAAGCAGCGTCCATTCAGCATATGGAGCAAACCACTGCGTAACTAAGACTGGATATGCATATTAATAAAGGCCTGAAGACTTGCTGGAGGAGAGGAGGGGAAAAATGGGCTTTGCAAGAGAAAAAGTGAAAAAGATTGAAAAACGGATATATTGTGACTGTGCACCTAATTTCATAGGGGATGGGGAACTATTATTTTGCCTGTATTTGTTGTAAGAAGATCAGTAGTTAAAGATTTTCCTCTCCCCATCTTTTTTTTTATTTCTATTCTTTTCATGCCTTTTCTCTGATTTTAGTTTGCATTATTTTTTCAGTATTGTAAAACCATCTAATGACAGGCATTTTTAAAACACCCATATATTGTGGAGTTCCTGGTGCTCTCTGAGCTTGTTTGCTTGCAGATGTTTCATTACCTAACTAGGTAACATCATCAAGTTGCTGAGGAACTCCACAATTCAATCATGAGCTACATCTCTTCTCTTCGACTGAAAGTTAATATTTTCTGCAACTCTCCCTAAAGCTTGGAGAGAGGTATTTTAGAAATAGGTCAGTGGTGGTGTAATATGTTGGGATAATTGTAGAAAAGGGAATTTAGTTTCAATCTCACTTCAGGAAAAAAAAAAAAAACACCGCCCAGTCCTTTGGGTAGTCTCAATGCTTCTTGCCCCACTTAAACCCACTTAGTAGCTTATTTTATAGGGCTGCCCTGGGAATTTCTGCAGAAATATCCCCATTCTCCTGTCAATGAAGGTATCTAGAAAACACAACAGACGGGTAACTTCAGCCAACCGCTCAAGAGAAATATGCAATATCCTTTTGCACAAAAAGAATACCCATGAAAAATAATACAGGCCAAGTTTCTATTTTTAACTCAAACTTGTTCCTCAGAAAATTGACTTTTCTATTTTAGGGAGATTTGAAGGTGGCAGGCCAAAATTATTGCAGTCTTCAGAATCTAAACATTTCTTCCTTTTTAGTCTCTGGCCGCAGAAGCTTTAGAACTTCCAAAGTATTGCCAACACCCCCCCCCCCCTCCCCAAGTGTGTGAATGGAGTCTACATGGTCTCCCGTCACCATTTATTGTGTGAGCTTGATCATACCACCTCCGTTTCTGGGCAAAAAGCCCGTTAGCCTCAATTGATTGCCTGCCAAAGATATCAGGGGTGGTGTATTTATGTCCACTCAAAATAGGAAACAGGAAGGAAGCATGAGTCATACGTGTTTTTGGACTTCGCTGCCAATTTCTCTGCTGATCTTCATGTATGCAGCCACTGGACCTGCCAAGAGTTCGTCAAAAGCTTGCACAAACTCAGCAACTCCTGCAGAAGGAAAAGAAGCAGGTGAGACCTTGTGCGTGAGGCCTGGGGCGGTCGTAAATCGAATATGCAGCAAGACTTTGAGCTGCATTAGTGCCATAGATAACAACCTCCAAAAGGGGCTTTAATGTGTAAATGCAGCAACACCCTTTAAAGCAGCTGTGTCTCTTTCCCAGGCTCATGCATGTCATTCTGGGAAAACTGCAGATGGTGCTACAAACAGACACCAGGGTTGTGTGTTTTGAGAACAGGAGTAGTTGGGAAAGAGAGTGAATCTGCTTACTAGGGCTGGGCAGCTGCTTTGGAGTTAATCTCTGAAAGATAATTTGGAGTGCAAATTATCTTTGGGAGATTAACGCCAAAGCGCTACCCAACCATAGCAAGCAAATTCACTCTCCTTTCCAATTATTTCTACTCCTAAAACAATGGTGGCAAACCTATGGCACGGGTGCCAGAGGCGGCACGCAGAGCCCTCTCTGTGGGGCACGCGCGCCGTCGCCCCAATCCTAGGCCTTCAGCTGGGTTTTATAAAACCTTTTCGCTTTAGGCCTCCGCCGCTGTGTACAAAAAAAAAAAGGTTCAATCAGTCAATTTCAACTTCTCGTGGGAAAAAAAAGATCTCGCAAAGTTGGAATTGATTGATTGAACTTTTTAGTCCCACCCAGTCTGCCGTTACCACCGCAGCCACGCCCACCCAATGGGCCACGCCCACCCAGCACCTGACGATGCATAAGTGGGTTTTGGGTTGCAGTTTGGGCACTCGGTCTCTAAAAGGTTTGCCATCACTGTCCTAAAACATATTGTAAGGACCCACCCCACTCTGCATCTTAAGAAGACAGAACTCTTGGAATAATTCTTCCAACAGGCATCCTTTATTAAGAGAAAATGGTTGCAGGCGTTCTAGACAGGACTTGGGGTCCAAGCTCTCCCATTCAAGGTTTTAAGGGGTTCCCCAGTAGCCCCACCCAATTACCCCCTACTTCCAGTGACAGTCTCAGGCATTATACTCCCACCCCCTTTTCCTTACTGCCGGCTGGATGGAGACTTCAGAGAAAACTACATGAAAGGTAATAGCCCCATTGTTATGGTTAGCCCTTTTGGTGATACACACATCCAGTTCCTTTCTTCAGAGAAAACTACATGAAAGGTAATAGCCCCATTGTTATGGTTATACACATTTTGGTGATACACACATCCAATTCCTTTGAAGTGTACCAAAGGAAGTGAGGGCCATAAAGCCCCTTTGTTCACCCCCTTCCCTTCATCGTATGACAGAATCCATAGAGGGCAGAAATGGGGTTTTCTATAATTGATAACTGGAGATGAAATATAATTGGATTCTGACACATATTTTCTTTCCTAAACATGGTGCCCTCCGAGCTTGCCAAGACTACAGTCCACTCCGCCAGAGGTTCTAGCCATGTGGTTGGAGAACATGCACACTTTCACAGGGTGCCCTATTTATAGGCAGTCTTTTTCAGCAGGTGAACATGTTAGGATTGCTGAGAGCATGTTGTGGGTGCTCTCATAAAAGACCTGCCATGTGGGCATGGCCAAAGCCAAGGAACTCCTCACCCCCCTCCTCTTCCTGGCTGCCTCACAGGCCTCCCACTAGTTCAATTTATCATCATTTGAAACTGAATGCAGATGCTACATGCTGACATTTTGCTGCATGCCGGCTTCTCTTTCTTTAATTAGGAAAAAGAAAATCAAGGAACAAACGTTCTGATACTGGAAGCATGCTGTACTGCTGGGTGCTTAAAAAGGAGGCAAGGGAACCCCAACAGGGCTGTTGTTGTGGGGGAAATAGGAGGAGGAGGAAGGAGTATAATGTATGTTCGCTGCCTTGTGGCATATAAAACCCTGTGGCAACCGAAAATGAAGCAAAGGTGGCTGTAATCAGAATTGGGTGAAGGTTGACATCTTGGGTATAAAAGTAGTAAAGGTGAGATGAAAAATGGGAGGGAGGGAGGAAGGGAGGGACTGCTCTATAATGCTATTATATACATTTTTGAACTATGGTGCTGGGGAAGACTCCTGCGAGTCCCCTGGACTGCAAGGCAATCAAACCAGTCAGTCCTAGAGGAGATCAACCCCAACTGCTCTTTAGAAGGCCAGATCCTGAAGTTGAAACTCAAGTACTTTGGCCACCTAATGAGAAGGAAGGACTCCCTGGAGAAGAGCCTGATGCTGGGAAAGATCGAGGGCAAGAGAAGAAAGGATGGAGTCACTGAAGCAGCAGGCGTGAGCTTAAATGGACTCCAGAAGATGGTAGAGGACAGAAAGGCCTGGAGGAACGTTGTCCATGGGGTCGCGATGGGTCGGACATGACTTCGCAACTAACAACAATACATTTTTGATTTAGAACTGGTGGGACTTGCTGTGCAAAGAAGGGAAAGTGAGCTGCTAATCTGGTTAGCAAAGCCAGAGGCCCACGCTGCCCAAATATGCTCAGGGGACAGGAGTAGAGTCAGCCCCTTGGAATATCAAAGGATATCATTTGGCACAGGGAGCTTACCTTTGGGGAGGCTGTCCCCATGGCTGCTGTGCACGCCAGGACCACGAGACACCATCTCCAGTCGCCCCACGGCTTTCTCCAGTCGTTCAACAAGGCTTTGCAGCTCTGTCATCTTTCAGCACCTGCTAAATTTGAGCATGCCGTTAGGAGGAAGCTAATGCAGCTTGCACCGAATCCTATTTCCTTTCAGGGTCTTTTTCTAACAACCTGAGAGCAAAAAACGGAAAGGAAGCTTATTTACAGAATACTGCAAAAAAATAAATAAAAATAAAATCCCTCTCCACTGAAACCAAGGCCAGAGCCGGAATACAATATCCATCGCTCAGCAATTGAGACCTTTGAACTCTGGTGCTGGAGAAGACTCCTGCGAGTCCCCTGGACTGCAAGGTGATCAAACCGGTCAGTCCTGGAGGAGATCAACCCCGACTGCTCTTTAGAAGGCCAGATCCTGAAGTTGAAACTCAAGTCCTTTGGCCACCTAATGAGAAGGAAGGACTCCCTGGAGAAGAGCCTGATGCTGGGAAAGATGGAGGGCAAGAGAAGAAGGGGACGACAGAGAATGAGGTGGCTGGATGGAGTCACTGAAGCAGGAGGCGTGAGCTTAAATGGACTCCAGAAGATGGTAGAGGACAGGAAGGCCTGGAGGGACGTTGGGGTCCATGGGGCCGCGATGGGTCAGACACGACTTCGCAACGAACAACAACAAACATGTGGGTGAACCCAGCCAATGTTCTACATGTGAGGTGCTGCAGCCTTTCTCTTGGAAACACAATAAAAACTAAACACGTGGAAGTAATCGGAATGTTTTAATCTCTAATCCCCTTGTCCTTGCAGAGGTATCTGCCAATCTCTTCTGTATTTATTCTAATGTTTTAGCCTGGCTGGGGATTGTCGGTTGCTGAGTTTGTATTTAGACACTTACAAGTTGTGGGTGTTTTGTCTTTCTTATCCCACACAAGTACTCGCCTCCACAATCACACAAATGCTGATCTTAATTGGCTTTCAATCAGACTTTTAAACCATGGGGAGCATTTGAACTTTGGGTAGATCTGGAGAATCAGTTATGTGTGGGTTGGAAACTGTACATGGTCTTCAAGTAGCAAACTGGGGAGGGGGGGGGGAAGCTCCACACTGGGTCATACTAGGACAACGATTAAATGTCATTTTAAATGGAACGTGATTAACATAAAAAAAACTTTCTGGCAGGCTGCAATTTGGAATAAGTTACGAGCTAGTTCAGATTCTCTCTCCTATTCATCAGAGATGCTGGAAGTGTCAGGCTTTAAGAGTCTCCTTCATCCTAATGAATAGATTCCATATGCATATGCCCATGTGGGCATATAATTTTATTAACAGTCTGGAATATAATAACAATTTAATACAAGTCAAAGAAAAAGAATAAAAAGTAAATAATGCAAAAAAGCACCACTCCAATAGAAAAGGAAGAAAACACGCAAGTGACTTTCAACCTTCGCCATAAATATAAACAACTGTAATGACTCTTCTACCTCTCAAAGGTTGCAAACATTTACCGCTTCATCTCCCATCCAATCTCCTTATCTAGAAACAAATCCATAAAACATAATCTTTTATGTCCCGATGTCAGCAGAAACTCCGTACAGAATTGCCAGAAGAATGTACCTTGTTTTAACCTTGATCAGCAAATCTAACTTTATATTCCTTCCTTTGACTTCTAACATTCTTAATTGCTGCAGGATCTGATTTCTTAAGGGATGGGTAGGCAACCGTGGCTCTTTTATAACTCGTGGACTTCAACTCCCAGAATTCCTGAGCCAGCCATGCTGAGGGGAAAGGGAGAGGTTTCCAAGCTGAGCCATGGCTGGCTCAGGAATTCTGGGAGTTGAAGTCCACGCGTCATGAAGGGGCCATAGTTCCCCCATGCTAGCTCAGGAATTCTGGGAGTTGAAGTCCACCAGTCATGAAGGGAGCCATAGTTCCCCCATGCTGGCTCAGGAATTCTGGGAGTTGAAGTCCATGAGTCATGAAGGGGCCATAGTTCCCCCCTACTAGCTCAGGAATTCTGGGAGTTGAAGTCCACCAGTCATGAAGGGAGCCATAGTTCCCCCATACTGGCTCAGGAATTCTGGGAGTTGAAGTCCACCAGTCATGAAGGGAGCCATAGTTCCCCCATACTGGCTCAGGAATTCTGGGAGTTGAAGTCCAGTTGAAGTCCACCAGTCTGGGAGTTGAAGTCCACCAGTCATGGAGCCATAGTTCCCCCATACTGGCTCAGGAATTCTGGGAGTTGAAGTCCACGAGTCATGAAGGGGCCATAGTTCCCCCCTACTAGCTCAGGAATTCTGGGAGTTGAAGTCCACCAGTCATGAACGGAGCCATAGTTTCCCCATACTGGCTCAGGAATTCTGGGAGTTGAAGTCCATGAGTCATGAACGGGCCATAGTTCCCCCATGCTGGCTCAGGAATTCTGGGAGTTGAAGTCCATGAGTCATAAAAGAGCCAAGGTTGCTTACCCCTGCCTTAAGGAAACAGCCTTGTTCTTCCAGCACACAGCAAAGCCAGGAGAAGGCCGTGGTTGGGCTCCTTTAATGGAGAGCAGAGGAAGGTTGCAGAAACATAAGATCCAAAGCACAACTTCCAAATTGGGGCAATGGTTTTAGCTAAACTAGCCCGCCAGGCTTAGGGTGGGCATATGCCAAGATAAGCAGGTGTCCAAGATAACAAACAAAAGCATCCTTGTTTTCTTTCCTACTCAACCTTATATGAAATAATGGATGGTGTATCTTCCTCAGGGTAGGACAAAACCTACCTTTATCTTTATAAATGGGAGGTCCTTTACAGTCCTCATCCCATCCATCTCTTCATTTTACGGAAATGCCAGCCACTTTTTTCACTGGTTAAGCCATCTGATCAATGGATTACTGCTCTCGCTTGGAACAGGAATCACGGCTCTAGTCAAAATGAACCTTCTATTGGTTGGATCTGAAAATGTTGTTGGATCCACTGTCGCCAACTGCAGCTCGGTGCCCCGAAAACTGCCTGGGTGTCCTTAAAAAGACTTCAGACATTTTCATACTTTAAATTCCAGGCAGATACAACGCACTGTAAATTTTGTGGGATGCTCACGGTTAGCCCATAAAGGCCTGTCAAGAGACTGCGGTAGGGCCTGAGGCAGCTACTATTGCAATACAAAGGATGACAATGCAGTCCTACGCAGCCTTAATCACTGTGAGAGAGGGCTCTGCACATCTCAGGCTCTACAAGAAAGAATGTTACAACAGGGTAACACAAATGTGTTGGTGGGCTGAGACCCCTCCCAAGGGTCTCAGCCCACCAACACATTTGTGGACTGCACTTGAAGGAATAAATGACAGTACAGGTAGTCCTCAACATACAACTGTTTGTTCAGTGACCGTTCAAAGTTACAAGAGGACTGAAAAAAGTGACTTACGCCCAGTTCTCACATGACTGTTGCATCATTAAAATTTGGGCACTTGGCAACTGGCATGTACTTATGACAATTGTATTGTCCCAGAGTCATGTGATCACCATTTGCCACCTTCCAGTCAGCTTTGGACAAACAGCTCAATGGGGGAAACCAGATTCACTTAACAGGCTCATGATTCACTTCACTGCACTGATTCACTTAACAGCCATGGGAAAAGATCACAAAATGCGACACAACTCACTTAACTGCCTTGCTTAGCAGGAAAAAAGTTGAGCTCAACGGTGATCATGAATTGAGGACTACCTGTGTAGGGGTAGGCAACCTTGGCTCTTGTATGATTCATGGACTTCAACTCCCAGAATTCCCGAGACAGCATGGCTCAGCTTGGAAACCTCTCCCTTTCCCCTCAGTGTGGCTGGCTCAGGAATTCTGGGAGTTGAAGTCCACGAGTCATAAAAGAGCCAAGGTTACCTACCGCTGGCTCAATGTGAGGCTGGCTTAACAAAGTACACCAAGACAACGCCTGGGCCTGGCTCCAGTACTGAACTGCAAGCTACTCAATCCCATTTCACCCTAGTTTACTGCGTTATGCATATCCACCCAATATGGAAACAACAGTTGCCTGAAGCAACACTTTGCTTCCAAGTCACCACACATGCCTCAAAGAGGAAGGACGCTTCCTCATTCTTGTAACAGAAAACTCTTTAACTTCCTCTTTGCAGAAAAAGCATTGATCCTGGGTGTGCTAATGAATTCAGAAAAAGTTCCTTGTCACTAGCTTTAGCTGCCCACCTTATTCCCAAGCTTTTCCATTAAACTTTGCCGGTTCTTTGCCGGAGCAGGTGGGAATATGGAATATTTACAGAATTGATGGATAGTGGCTGTTAGGCAAGGGGATCTTTCCTCCAACTAAGGGGATTGCACAACTTCAGAGTTTCTATCCTCATGCAGGAAACTGGAATGGAAAACTAGGATACATTTTCCAGAACCAAAGCAATTTGCTCATAATCTCCGGTAAATGGAAGATAAGGTATGTCATAACCAAAGGGAGGGGCCAGGAAGAGTAGATCAGCTTTTCAATCATTCACAGCAAACTTTGGTGGTGCAATGGAGGTTTTTTTTGGGGGGGGGGAGAAATTTGACTATGCAAAATATGTCCCCACCAACCACATGAACCTATTATTTACGCCATAAGGTCTTGTCTGGCTGTATTCTATGTACACAGACATTCTGATTTGTAAACTACCATTTCTGGCTTAGTTGCACAATGTCTGGAAGTTCATGCAAGACTTAAGGCACCCAAAATCATTTCAAAAAGAAAGACCACAGTTATTGGTCTTGCTCATTTGAAGGAAACTCTACAAAATGCCAAAGAGAAGAGGTTGGCTGCACTCCTTTGCGTTCTTTGCCTCGCAGCAATTTGTGAACCCAGACAATTAAGGACTGTTCAACAGAGCATGCTTTAGCATGCAACACTGTGTGATGCCATAGTTGATTATGATATCCCATCTTTATTTTATGCAACCCACGACAGCTGAATTCAAGTGTACTGAACCAAAAATAATCAAATCGTATTTGGACTGAGTGCAATGTACATTCCCAATCATGGGTGGCTTTCTTTTCTTAAAAAACATGGCAGTGACTAAATTTCAGTTTAGTTGTCTCAAACAAAATTGGACTGTTAAAACACCCCACACACACACACATTCATGCATCATACTAAGCCAAAACTAAATAAAACATGGATTTGCACAACTTATAAACCCCATCCATGGCGACAAATATTCTCTACCCAATGTTAGAAAATCAATTATCATTTCTGACAACTATTAGCTAAAGTGCTATCATTATTTTATTGGAAATGAATAGTACAGCATCACTCCATCAAAGCATGCAGAAAGAGTGGGTTCCGGTTAATAAATACTATTCTTGGTATTCATAAATCTGAAGGACATATTTTAATGGGTATATTTTCATACGTATTTAAATAATATGGAGACTGTCTACCTCAGGAGTCTCTAACTGTGGCAACTTTAAGACTTGTGGACTTCAATTCCCAGAATTCCTCAGCCATTCTGGAAGTTGAAGTCCTCAAGTCTTAAAAGTTGCCAAGGTTGAGGACCCCTGGTCTACCTACATCAGTGTTTCTCAACCTTGACAATTTTAAAGCATGTGGACTTCAATTCCCAGAATTCCACAGCCAGCAATGCTGGCTGTGGAATTCTGGGAGTTGAAGTCCACATGCCTTAAAATTGTCAAGGTTGAGAAACACTGACCTACATCATTAAAACAATGTTTGTTGAGAAAGTAATGTTAACAGAATAGTTAGAAATCTATTACTACATACCATAGTGGTCTGTTTGAACAACAACCCCATTTTCTCCACCAAGCTAAGCTGCAAGCAATTGCTTCTAATCCTGAGGAATCTTTCAGACTGTTACAGGCCTGAAGCTAGAAGCAAACCCAGCCCTATTTGGAAGTGGACACCAGAACTATTTTCACAAAACACTAAAAAAGTCTGTGCTGGCCTTCAGAATGTGAAATTTCTCTAAGTTCTTCCTATGCTCAGGCAGGAGCATTTTACTATATACATACATACATACACTTTTCAACCATATACACATATAAAATTCTACCTACATTGAGAACTCAGATTTGCACAAACTACCATTGATCAAGTAAGCCCAAGGTTTAAAGGGACAGAATGTTTTTGAATTAAGCAGCTTTTAATGCCATCTTTAAAATATTCCACGGAAAATTGCAAACAAGAGACTTTACATACTGTACTAGTCACATATTTCTCACTGCAAATGTAACGTTTAACCATTGTTAATGAAGGTCACAGCTCCCACAAAAGCTTCAGATATCTACTTTTGCTTCCCAAGTTTACACTTGTTCATGATATAGCTAGCAGTTAAAAGCATCATCTCTACAAAGACCAAATTGCTCAGTGTATCATTGACCTTTGTTTTTTGACCACAAGCCTTTTCTGGAAAAAAATAGCTTTTGTGTTCTACAGTTAGCAAATGCAAAGTGATTCCTACAGAATCATTCTTAAACAAAGGTCCCATCAATGAATTCTTGAAGGATAAGTATCTGCAAAAAAGCAGAATTTTTAGAATGGGCTCTAATCTTGGGGGAGGGGAATCCAGTTAGTCACATTCTGTTGTTCAAAGCTTAGTTGTCAAAAGAGGCATTTTAGAGAAACTCAACAACTGAACATATAAATGCTACAGAACAGACTATTTCTTCCCCACAATCATAGTTCTCAACATAAGGGCTGCAAGGACTTTAATTCCACAGCCAACCTCTGCTCTGGACTAGTATCAGATGGACTTTGAACAGGAAAGGGATACTTAACCCCATTTTGCTGACAAACCTATGATAAGCAGGCAGGGAGAAAGGAGTAGCAGAAACTAAGAGAACAACATGCTGTTAAAAACACAGGGCTAAGCAATTTGAAACCATCACTATGTAATTTACTGTACCTGAATTCTCCTTTTCAACAACAAAGCTAATTCCCCAAAGAGTTTACAATAGGCGCCAAGGTTTATTGGCATATTCATGCATAACATTACTCCTATAAAGTGGCTTGTCTCATATTGGGTTAATAAGCATATCTAATTAATAGTTTCTCACTTTATTGCTTAGCATGTGTGAACTCAACCAATTGTGCTTAGTAAAACCCATGGTTTAAATAAATAATTGTGGTTTATTGATGTCTGAATGCAGCCAATAAAAGTGTCCTCTGACATTTAAAAGGGCATTTTTGGCAATAGCCGTATTGGAGATTATTCTCCATTGATTCAAGTGGTTATCAAAAATGGTATGAGTCTGTTTCTGCTTTCAATGGAATTTATGCTGTCAAGCCTATAAAGATTCACAGCAGCTTACAACAAAATTAAAACAGCCACTGCATAATAAAAAATAGAACATAACATTAAAACCTAGAAGAACAGGAACTACAATATTAAAAAATCCACAGTACAGCCAACCACCCATAAATATCACATAAATCCAATCATCACTATACAAATCTCAACAATTTGGAATTATTACTTTTCCTACACCACTCACTATATATTTTGTTTGAGAAGAGATTTTTGTCTTGGATTAATATCGAAACTACATGGCTTGGCTGAGTACACGGATACATATTTCTCTTCTCTGTGGTTTTAGTCATTACTTCCTGCATTAAACTTAATGTTGACACTAGTTATATGCCTATGATTCTGTCCACGGAGAGGAATACTGTTATCTTCCACTTAACTATATAGCTTCCAAAGATCTTAATTCCCGTATGCAACTTATTGGGAATTTACAACTCTTGATCTGCAAGTTACAACATGGGAATCTCCTCCTCCTGTTTAATGAGAAACAAATAAGGTAAAGCAAATGCTTTGATTTTTGCAGCCTGTTGCAAACCAAGTAAGAATTATTTTGTAAATAGTCTGGTCTAAAGTATCAATAAACATTTTTTAAATAAGCCACAATTGGTTTCCCGATCATGGCAAAGTAAAATCAAGAAGCCACATTGTAGCACAGTGCAATTTATAAACTCAATAACTGTCCCTATGGTATAATACATGCCCATTTTCCAAACAACTGATGGCTTAAAGTCAGCACATCTTTATGCATCTTTCATTCAACCTTCAAATTCCTCCTGAACCAATAATAAACTGCTGCTCTGTTCCAATCTCCTCACTTGATACACCCCAGGAGACCAACTGCAAACTTGAACGAAACTGAATTATTCTATTCTGACTCTCCAGCCATCTTCTTCTCCTTGCTGCTTTCTGCTCAGATATTCCCCATATCTCCCATTACAATGCAGGGCATTCAAAGACATCTTCCAAAATGAATTCTGGCTAGCTACTGTACTTCTTCCCCTAAAGACAACACCTGCTTCAGCAAACAAGCAGGTTTTCCTTCCTTGCCATCTTCAAACTATGCAACTGATCGTGAAGCCTTAATTCCGCTTAGGTTTACTTGCAAAATATGTAGTGCTGAGTCAGTCTCTTCTCCTTGCCCACAATGACTAAGAATATTGGAATTTATAGGCCACTTCCATCTTTAAGACCATAATCTGGGAACTAGACTATTTCAGCCAAATAATCTGTCAAAAGTTGCTCGATATTTAGGCACTAAAATCTAAATGGAAGAGTTACACCGCACAGAAAACCTCTGCAGTTTTTAAATCCTCTAACCATGCTTTTCAGGAAAAGCCCTGCGCAAAGCTTTTCAAAGTCTTTCATTCCATATTTGGATCAAAGGTTAAACTGGACCTTAAGTTCGGAGAATGGATTTTAATAGGTTCCTCTAAAGGGCTACTAGATCCTGAGCTGGCCCAACCCAGACAACGGTCTGCAGGCTTAACCCGCCTGCAGCCTCGCCACTCTCCTCGCCTGACACTGCAGTTCCCAAAGGGAGCCATCCCACGCACCGCCGGCAGCGATGAAAAGGCCTTCCGACGAGCAAGCGGAGCTCTGGGTTGCAACCGGGAAATCCCCGGAGCCGAGTCCTCCTTGCAAGGAGACACGAGTCTCCCCATCAAGTTACCCTTTGCACGCCCGTGCAGCCCCGGCCCACGTCGGTGGAGTCAAGGCGGCTTTCACCCCACGCGTTCCAGCCGCACAAAAGGCTCAGCTTGGCTTGGAAGCATGCGAACCCAGCTTCCTTTCTGGTTGGCGAATCCAGGAAATGGAACCCGAGAAGCAGGTTAGATGGGTCGTGGGAACCCGAACACGCCTCCTCTGCGCCTCCCCTCCCCACCGCGTTCAGATGTGCATCACCGCTGCCGTCCAGACCGCCTCTCCCCACCCACCTCAACCCACTCGAGAGGCCAAGCCACGCTCCGGAGCACCAGCGGCCGCCTCACCTCGCGCAGTCGCTCAGGGCGCGGCTCCTTCTCCCGCTCACCTCCGCACCGTTCGCCGCCGCCGCCGCCGCCTTCCCCGACAGCTCCACTTCCGCCCGGAGACGCCCAGTAACCCTCCCCGCTCCACTTCCGGCGTTGCCGGAAATACGCTAAGAGAGGGAGAGAGAGAGAGAGAGAGAGAAGGGAAGGTAAAGAAGGCGCGCGACATGGGCGGGGCTTAAAAGGAAAATTACCGTAACCACGCCTCTGCCGTTCGGTTAGGGTGGGGAAAGAGAAAGAGAGGTGGGATTGGGCGAAAGGCTCTGAAGCCGAGGGCTCGACGGAAGGGCGGGGAGGAGGCGTGGCTTCCCTGGAGGGGCGGGCTTTGGGTAAGATGGACAGCTGTGGCTCCGCGGGGAAGCACACAAAGGCGGGAAAGTTGAGGGGATGGGGGCGGGGAGGTTTGCACGCCGAGAAGACAGAAGTAGAAACGGTGGATAAACTTCATATACCGGTTGAATTTCTGCCCGTCGTCATTATGGGAATTCTACACTTTGCATGCAGTGTGGTTGAAATGCACGCATGCACACACACACACACACACACACACACACACACACTTCATTTACCGAGTGAATTTCTGCCTGCCATCATTATGGCCGTGGGATTCAAATACAGGCAGTCATCGATTTACAACCACAACTGAGCCCAACATTTCTGTGGCTGAAGACAGTTATTAAGAGAGTTTTGCCTCATTTTACGACCTTGCTTGCCAGAGTTGTTAAATGAATCGCTGCAGTTGTTAAGATAGTAACCCGGTTGTGAGGTGAAAATGGCTCCCCCGTTGACTTTGCTTGTCAGAAGGTCACAAAAGAGGATCCCATGAGCCCAGGACACTGCGACTGTCATAAGTATGAGTCAGTGGCCAAATGTACGAATTTTGATCATGTGACCATGGGGATGCTGCAACGGTCGTAAATGTGAAAAGCGGCCACAAGCTGTTTTTTTCAGTGCTGTCATTTGAATGGCCACTAAATGAACTGTTGTAAGTCAAGGACTATCTGCATAGACACACAGGCATACCCTGGCTGAAACCTTAAGATGCTTGCTAGGAACAAAAAGCAGCCCGGACGACTTTCTGCAGCACCTTTGCATGCTTCCCCAGCTTGGTATCTCTGGTGCTGAACTGCAGAGCCCATCATCCTGTACTTTGCTCCCCAATCCAGTTTCCCGAGGCAACAGTCGTATGTGTGAAAAGCGGCCATAAGCCATTTTTTCCAGTGCCGTTGTCGTTTGAACGGTCACTAAATGAACTGTTGTAAGTCGAGAATTACCTGCATACACACACAAACACACCCTGGCTGAAACCTTAAGATGCTTGCTAGGAACAAAAAGCAGCCCGGACGACTTTCTGCAGCACCTTTGCATGCTTCCCCAGCTTGGTATCTCTGGTGCTGAACTGCAGAGCCCATCATCCTGTACTTTGCTCCCCAATCCAGTTTCCCGAGGCAACAGTCGTATGTGTGAAAAGCGGCCATAAGCCATTTTTTCCAGTGCCGTTGTCGTTTGAACGGTCACTAAATGAACTGTTGTAAGTCGAGAATTACCTGCATACACACACAAACACACCCTGGCTGAAACCTTAAGATGCTTGCTAGGAACAAAAAGCAGCCCGGACGACTTTCTGCAGCACCTTTGCATGCTTCCCCAGCTTGGTATCTGGAGTGTTGAACTGCAGAGCCCATCATCCTGTACTTTGCTCCCCAATGCAGTTTCCCGAAGCCCAGAGGGAGCCTTATTCGACCCAGGCGCCTCCTTAGACCCGCAGGTGGGTCTTCCTCCCTCCCGCTGGGCTGGTTGCGTCCCCCCCCCCCTTTCCCTCCCCTTCCTCATTCATCCTGCAAGGCGGGCAGCTTTAAAAAAAAGAGAGAGAAAAGAGCCGAAAAGCAGCTCGCTGGCTTTGCAAAAGGAGGTTTGGGGCGGTCGGAGGGGGGGGAGAGATATTTCTGGGACTCGCAGCCCGCCGAGAGGAAGGAGGCGGCCGCGGACTGTTTTTCCCCGGCTTCCTGCTCGACTCGGGGTTTTTGACCATAGATGGTAAAATCGGCCGTCATTGGCACGTGGGAAGTGGAAGCGAGCGGGCGTAGCTGGCCCGCAGCTCTGACATTTGTCAGCGGAGACGTCTGCTCTGCTTCGCGGCTTCAGAAATAGGGGGAGGGGGGCACCTGCGTGTGCGGGAGATGGATGGGAGGCTCGCACACGCGGGGAACGTGGGAACGTCTAAATCTGGTCTAGCCATGAATGGGGTGGGAAATTGCAGGACTGGAAGGAGATCGGGAGACCGGGTAAAAGCAGGTCTCCCCCCCCCCTCTCCTACTTTCGCCCCGCAGTCCCAAAATACATTTCCCGAAGATGCTTTTTTCACGAGGCGACTGGACTGTCTTGTTTTTCTTTGAAGACGTCTCGCTTCTCATCCAAGAAGCTGCGTGAAAAAGCGTCTTCGGGATAAGTGTGACCTGGATGACTGAGAATCTCCGTAGACATTGAGAGGCAGATTTCTTTCTTTCTTTCTTTCTTTCTTTCTTTCTTTCTTTCTTTCTTTCTTTCTTTCTTTCTTTCTTTCTTTCTTTCTTTCTGTTTCTTTCTTTCTTTCTCTTTCTTTCTTTCTTTTTCTTTCTTTCTTTCTGTTTCTTTCTTTCTTTCTTTCTTTCTTTCTTTTTCTTTCTTTCTTTCTGTTTCTTTCTTTTTCTTTCTTTCTCTTTCTTTCTTTCTTTCTTTCTTTCTTTCTTTCTTTCTTTCTTTCTTTCTTTCTTTCTTTCTTTCTTTCTTTCTTTCTTTCTTTCTTTCTTTCTTTCTTTCTTTCTTTCTCCTGAGTTATAGTTTACTCAAGGCAGCGACTATACCTATACATTGTAAGCTGCCCAGAGTCAGCTCATGGTGAGATGGGCAGCAAACAAATTTAATAAATAAATAAATAAATATTCCTCCTTCCTCTTATTTTCCTAACAACAACAACCTTGTGAGGTGGGTTGGGAGAGAGAGAGAGAGAGAGAAAGAGGGAGAGAGAGAGAGAGGAAAGAGGGAGAGAGAGAGAGGAAAGAGGGAGAGGGAGAGGAAAGAGGGAGAGAGAAAAAGAGAGAGAGAGGGAGAGAAAGAGAGAGGGAGAGGAAAGAGGGAGAGAAAGAGAGAAGGGGAGAGAAAGACAGGGAGAGAGGAAAGAGAGAAAAAGGGAGAGGAAAGAGAGGGAGAGAGAGAGATGGTTTCTAACCTGGTGCCTTCACCCCTAGACCAAGTGGGTCCTCTAGCTGCAAGTCCAGTTGATGGGTACTGAAGGAGCAAAATAAAAACAAAAAGGAAGGGCCGAATTGGTCCAGAGGTGCAATAAAAGAGTGCAGAGTTTTGGATACTCAAGAATTCTGCATCAAGTGAGATGCTACCAAAATAAGAAAGAAGCAGAAACAAATGAGTATTATATATATAAAAGACCTAGCTAATTTTGAAAAATGGGGCCAGGCCTGGTTAAGGATTGGGTGGGAGACCACCAGGAGATCCTAGGGCTGCAAAGTAGACTGGAAATGTTGAGAAGACATATTTTAATATTACGTAATTGGCTTAAGATTGAAACTATTGTAATACGAGTAATACTTTAATGTGAGTTGCAGTGTTTTTTTCCCCCTTTGTTTAATGCTTCACTTTGGATGGAAAACTAAATATTTTCTGCTTAAACTACTGACATTCTGAATAATAATGTTGACAGATTAAGAAGTCATGTGTGCATTTAAATATACAGAAACGTTCCTACCAAACTATGAAATTCATGATAGCTTTATTTTTATATTATTTTATTAAAGTGTATTATTATAGGAGAAAATGCAAATAATTTTTTTAAGAAAGTTAAAAAGTGCAGCTTTTGCTTTACTTTTTCTAAATGTTTCAAGCCATTTCTATAATAACAAAGTCATTTTAATCATCAAAACCTAAAATTAGTTCCATTTTTTTTTTTTTTTAGCTTTGAGTACAAAATCCAGAAGTGGCTTCCAAATGGAAACAAAACTAGATGAATTCTTCTCTTTAATTAGAACAGTCAATTTGCCATCTCCGCCAACTCCATCACCTTTACCATCCATTCTTCCATTGTAGAAATTATAATTCACAAAGTTTTCCTACTGTCATTTAAAGCTTTAGCTGGAGGTGGGAGAGAAAAGACTTTAGGCAGCATTTTGAACAAAACCCAAGGAACACTGGATATTTGCCTCTGGTCACCCTTCTAATTCTCTCCAATGCCTTGAATGGATGTTCTGTAGGCAACATTGTGAAAAATAATCACCGTCCTATTTATAGCAGTGGACTATATAATTTGGAGAATGTGCTATCCTCATGGGAACAAGTGTGGGAGAATCTGGGAACTGAATAAGCCAATGCATCTTTATTGCATCCAGTTCTGAGCTGTATAAGCCCAGTTGAATAAGTCCAACATGTATTTATTGCACTGAATAAGAACTAAGTCCAATGCATCTTTCATGGGACTACCTTTACTTAACATTATCCTTAAAGTCTGGAAAGGAGTAGATTAATAGAGACAAACACCTTTCATCCATTCTTAGGTAATTTCTCAAACACCTAATTGCTGAAAAGAATGCAAAGCATTTCCTTGTCTCCATTTAGCTGACTAGCCCACCTCTTTGCTTTTCTTCCTTGAAAAACAACTGCCCTCAAGGGTAATAAAGTGCTTACAATCACAGTCAGTTTGAGAACAGCTACATCTTATTAGTGGTATGGGGTGAGTAGGATGCTCTGTATTTGCACATCTATAACTGGTTGGTACAGCAACCAAACAGGACAGGTACAGACTCCAACAAATAGTTAAGACTGCAGATAAAATAATGGCAACCAATCTGCCTTCCATAGAGGACCTGCATATTGCATGGGTCAGAAGGATGACTTGGAAGATATCTGCAGACGTCTGACATCCAGGACATAAACTGTTTCAGCTGCTTCCCTCAGGGGGGCGCTATAGAGTGTTGTATGGCAAGACTTAGCTGTGTTCCAATATCTGTAGCAGTCTTCCAATATCTCAGGGGCTGCCCCAAAGAAGAGGCAGTCAAGCTACTCTCCAAAGTGCTTAAAGGCAGGACAAAAAGCAATGGATGGAAACTAACCAAGGAGAGAAGCAA